TTACGACAAAATGTTACCTCGTAGGTGTACTATGAGTTTACGACAAATTCATGTGCATGGTGTTTATGACGAAACAATTTTGTCGTAACAATAACAATCTATGAAGAACTATCTGTTATAATGAATGATTTATGATGAATCAGTAATCGATGTTTATTCGTTACAACACATCATTTACGATGAATTGACCATGAAGTTATTTTAACAAATTGACTTAAAATGACATGATTAAAAGCAACAGAATTGGGGCAATCATATTTTGGAAAACATATTTCAATATGCTTCTTTTTTTTTACAGCAATGTAACTAGAAACTATCATCTATGCTCTTCTGGAGCGGAGAACCAGATCAGAGGCATATAAATGACATAAAACATAGCAGAAGGGGAATATCGAGCACCACGTGCGAGCTTGTCCACCACTAAATTATTGCCCTCAATATATGTCAAATTTTGAAGGTAGAAAAGAAAATCTTACTTCGTCGGAACTCCTCCAAGTGTATTGCAAACGCTGGCCATTCATCAGGTGAGGACACCATCTTCACCAATTGAGAACATTTTGTTGCAAAAAAACCGTTTGAGTAATTGAGGGTCTTAATGCACTCTATAGCCCATATCAATGCTTCCCATTCTGCATGCAAAGCGGAGAAGTTTCTCCGGAGACTCATCGCACCCATCATCTTCTCATCTATCCCATATGTTTTACAAAACCACCCTTGACCTCAATATACTTTTTATGTTTCATAATAAAAGATATTTTAAAATTATAAATTGTTTTATAGTTTCTTATATTTTATTTATTTGATATTGTGTGACCAATTAAATAATGTATTTATTAATGACTGGTTAAACTTATATTTTAAATTATGTTTCTTAAAAGTAACAATTGTTTGAACTTTGTGATTTAAATAAAAGAACTTATGTTTTGAATGAGATGGAGGGGAAGAAAATACTGAAAATATAGTTTAAAGATCTCTAAATCAAGAAAATCTAGCTTAATGGATCTTCTTGTAGTTCCTCAAAAATAGGCTAAATGGCTGTTCAGGTAGACAAATATTAGATGAACAAAAAAAAACTAGAGAATATATGATTTTGTTTAAAGAGTCAGAGTTAAAAATGTTATTTCTGGAGTGTGTACAAAACCTGGATTTTTTTTTTATGAGATAGATGTAACTAGCACTTGTTGATTTGTTGCATAGTCAGATGGTAAATTTGGTGAGGCCTTATATTTAATAGTACTTTAAAAAGAAGAAGGTCAAAAAAGGATTATTTTGTCAACGTTATATTTTATTAAGAAAGCCATACAAAATTAATATAATTAAAAATGAACACTTATTCTCCAATGAATTACCTATAGCCATATTCTAATCTTATTGAGAACAAAAAGAGATTCCATAAATTTTACCAGCATTAATCTTTTTCTTCATCATCCCTTATATACTAAAGCACAAGTCGCCTAAAAAATAAGATTATAACACATGGAATATGTTTAAAAATTTAAAAAAAGCATAAAACAATTTAGAACTGTTTCGGCAATTTTGTTGTTTGGTTGAATTTGGTTTTTGACCAAAAAAGGTTGATTTTCATTTTTAAAAATTTCCATATAAAATATAAAAAAATCCTAATATTTATCCACTATCTCAGTATCTTTGGAACAGTTAATATTTCTAGGAAAGATTTAAATCACAATGTCATTGCTACTATTTGTAACAGCTAATAACTCTTTCAAAAGTGTGATGAATTTCAATTTCTAATCATATAGATAAAAAATGATTGTATTCACACAGTCCAGTCTACAATCCTGGATGCATATCAACATAGTTTCTGCTCAAAGGGTGGCACAACAATGGTTTTCAAGAAAATCCTTTCAATGAGGTGAGTAGAACACAAGTTTGCTGAGGACGAGTAAGTAAGTGCTGCATACTTAAAAATTGGCAGATGAATCTAAAATTTAGGTTAATAACTCTACAAATACACAAACTCTTTATGCTTAATCATAACTAGCGTCATCTTGAATATATTTTCATATATCTTTTTAATCCATATATAATTTTTGTCTGTAAAAGCTACATATGAAATGGTGAGAAAGATAACAAACATCCGAAATGGATGAAATCAATTTTTGATGTTCTCAGTTTATGTGGTGGTGATAATTTAGGGAAGGAGAGTAAAAAAGTCTCACCTTAAAGCACACTTACTTACAAGGCCATTAAGAGACTTAAAATGCACTACAAGAAAAAAATAATAAGTTGATAACTAGAAGACAACAAATGGAGCTTAAGAAACTAGGGTATTTATAAAAAAAATATTTTTTGTTTATAAATATATATATATATATATATATATTTCTTTTATTTTTTTATATAGTCAAATTTGTAAATTCTCTTAGAGACAAAAAAAAATACTGGATTAAATACAGCACTGAAAATAAATAAATATAAATGATACAGTAAAATAAAAAATATATATAGAAGAAGAAAGTAAAACGGTAGAAAATATACTAATCTCAGTTATCTATAAATTTAAGATTGATATTTTTGTTCTAGTTATGCAGAAGATATGTTTTCACATGCGATGATACTAATCTTACAATAGTCTAATACATACTCACACAAATATAATATATCTAAAACAATTATAGATTCTTTTTCTTTTTTTTTAATAATTATAGATTTTAGATATATCTATACTATTATCTAAAAAGTAAATTTTCTTAGTTGTCAATTTCTCCTTGATTTTAGGTAAATTTGTTTATTTACCTTATTTAACTAATTTCAAATACAAGTTATTATTTAATAAAAACAAATTTATATTAAGAATATTATATTTTAGAAAATATGTTAATTATTTTGTATTAAATTGGTATCTTAAAATTATATTTTCCATTATAAAATTCAAGTGAATTTACTGATTTATTTGTAACTTCTGCATGACTTTTTTTTTATTTTGCTTATTATATATAAGAAGTAAGTTTTCTTAGTTGTCAACTTCTCCTTGATTTTAGGTAAATTTGTTTATTTACCTTATTTAAATAATTTCATATACAATTAATTATTTAATAAAAATGAATTTATTTTAATAATATTATATTTTATAAAATATGTTAATTATTTTGTATTAAATTGTTATCATAAAAATATATTTTTCTATTATAAAATTCAAGTGAATTTATTGATTGATTTTTAGCTTCTCCACGATTTTTGTAATTTTGCTTATTTTTTATATTTTATTTTCTATTATAAAATTCAAGTGAATTTACTGATTGATTTGTAACTTCTCTATGATTTTGTACTTTTACTTATTTGTTATATTTTTAATAATTTTATGTTATCATATAATAAAACGAATTTCTATTAATAATATTATACTTTTAGAAAATAAGATAATTCTTATGTATTGTATTGTTATCTTTAAAATATATTTTTATCATATAAATTAAAAATTAAGTTAAAATATTAATTGTTAAATATAAAGAAAGCAATGCTGATTTATCAACTTTTTATGGTTTTATATTTTACTTATTTATCATATTTTAATAATTTCATATATAGTTTTTAAAATAATAAAACGAATGAATACTAATAATACTAGATTTTTTTTAAAATAAAATAATTCTTATGTATTAGATTGTTATCTTGAAGATATATTTTCTATTAGAAAATTTAAGTGAATTATCTTATTGTAATTTCTCCATGATTTAGATAATTTAGATAATTTTTCATATTTTTATGAATTTCATATAAAATTTATTATAAAATAAAAACAAATTTATATTAAAAAATATATTTTGAGAAAATAAGATATTTCTTATGTACTATATTGTTATCTTGAAAATATATTTTTTATTATAGAAAAAAATATAATTAAAATCAATTAAAGCAACATATTTATAAAAATATTTTGTTATGTGAGTGTTGTCATTTATAATTAATTTTAAAACATAAATCATAAATTATTATATTGGTTTAAATTAATAAAATATAGATTAATAATAAATTATACGAATATTATGCCTGCATGTGCAGACAAAACACCTAGTTTTAATGTATACTAGATTTTGACCCGCGCTTTAAAAGCGCGTGTATATTTTTACCATTTTGATAAAATTATTTAAATTAATTATTCAAACACGAAAATTTTAAAATTGTTTTATTAATATATTTAAAAAAAACTATTATAATGTTTGATTTTCACATAATGTTTCCATGTCCGACCCAGATCCATAGTTGAATCGGTACAACCGGTACATCCGGTAATTTTTATATAATCCAGTTAAGATTTAATTAAAATTTACTAATTAAAAAATTAACCCAACCCGATATATATCTTAAAACCCGCTATTAATCTGTATTATGATATCTGTTGATCCGTTAAATAACCTCATAAAAACTGATAATATATTTTTAAAAATTTGTTAAATAATTCATATTTTTAATATTAAAGAAAATTGTTTTTTGAAATTTCTTTAATAAAAACTTTCTTATCATTTGAAAAAATGAAACAATGGCACTAGAAAAAAAAAACACAATTTATTCATATAACAATATTAGTTTCTTTTCGTTATTAATAACCTACGATAAGTTTACATTTTTACTCATGTTATATCTAAAATTTAGTTTTTAAAAGAAATTGAATTGACATATCATTATTATGGATAAAATGAATTAGTAAATAATAATTTATAATTTTTGATCGATAAATAATATGATGCTCGGAAATATAATATTAAAATTAAATAGAAAATCATAATTTTCATAAAAGGAAAATTATTATTAGTCACAAAAATATGAAATATTATCAGTTACCATAAATATTAAAGATATTAAATTATTTAATTAATTAAGATTCTAAAAATAAATAGTGGTATTATCTTATAAATGTGATTTAAATCTAGGAGTATAATCCAAAATTTTAACTATAGGATCCTGCTTTAATAGTATAGATATAAACAATTTCCGTACATAGCACAGGAGATATATACTAGTAAATATTAATTTGGAAGCGATGATTTAAGATGAATAATACACAAATGACACATTTATTAATTACGAATTACCTACACAGAACACATCCAAAAGAACAGTAAAACGCAGTAGGAAGATGGACATACAAAAAAAACTAAGGCAGTCTATGTTGTCAACGGTCAGTAACAATGCTCTGAGCCATCAGAATTATCTAGATCGTCTTCAAGTGCAGCTGCTTCACCCCATCCTCCTCTCCCCAAGGGCTGAAGAACGATAACCTTACCGCTACTAAGCCCAACAGAGATCTGGCTCGTATGTGTTGGATGAGCCGCTAAAACAGCTGGATAAACGTTGGCCCTGTGTCATTCCCAGTTTGATAACAACATTTCTGACTTTTTAGTATCACAAAGAAGAAACGTGTGTAGGCAAGGAAAATATACCTCATGTTGCTGGGGATGGCTTGAGTAAAACAAGTCAGATTGATTCGACATTTCATCAGAAATGTATCGGAGTCGAGAATTTTTATAGACTCACTTCTAAAGCCAACATAAATGACCTCGCCATCAGAAGAGTATGTAGCAGAAGTTATTGCAGCTTCAGATTCATCAGGAACCCACTGCATAGCATTTTATTGGTATAAAGTCGATAGATAACTAGATGCAAGGGAAAATATCATCAGAGAAGAGTCTTGAAAGTGTTTGCCTTTTACCTGCCTAAGGCAATCTAAAGTTGGAGCTGCGTGTCTACTTATCCACTTATCTTGGACAACGAGTAGCTCGATCTGATACGGGTCAAACAGGATTTGTGTAACTAGAGAGGACATATTGTTACGCCGGGTGCAAAAGTTATGAGTTGAGTCAATACTTGTTAGCTTTACCCAGCTTTTTGCGGTCCAAACACAGAGCTGGAGAAAACAAGAACTAGTTTTAGGAAAATCCTGAAAAAAGCAACAGTACAGATGCATGTACAAACCTTTCCATCAGCTCCTGATGAGACGAGGACATTAAAACAGCGCGAAAATGCTAAGCAGGTTATTCTCTGATCATGGCCGTCCAACTTTTCTTTGATCTAACACATTTTTACGGATTCAGGTTAGTATTAGACAAACTAAGACAACGGTTTCAGATGATTACTATGAAAACGGAGAGCTTTACCTTTCTCAAGGATAAGCAATGGATGAGGATAGAGCCATCATCTAGCCCAACGGCGAGTAAATCACCCGGAATAAATATAAAATACGTAGCCGTAGGTTTAACAGGACTTCCAAAGGCAGCCAGCCTCTGCAGTTTTTATGCAACACAGTATCGTTCGATGATCGAGACACAAAGGCGGGACTAGAAAGCTTATAACAGTGCAATGCTATTACCTCAAAACTCTTCAGATCAAAAACTGCTATTTTTCCTCCTGAAGTAGAGAAAAGATAAGAGCCCTTGATCGCAAAGCAAGACGTTGAATCCTCAACAGAGGTGGCTATTTCGTTTTTCATAGTTTCCCCACTCATAGGCTGATGTAATCGTGGTTTCGGAAAGATATCTTCCTTCAATATTCGAGGAGTATGCTACATGTAGAAAGTTTGAAAAATCAAGTAGATAGGGTAAGTAGTCATGACATCAGCGCTAAAATATAGGAGAGACAATTTTGACATCTTTAGTCTAAACCTTGAAGAGTTCATTTTGGCCTGTTGACCACGTCCAGAGTTTATGTGTGGCGTCATCTGCCAAAGCCAGTATGTAATCTCCAGAAGGGGAATATGTCAAAAATGCAATCTAGCAAAACCAACAAATACCAATGTGATCGAAGATATAGAGGACACATTTGACTACATGAATCAACAAACATCATCGCTATTCAATATCTATAAGGGCTACAAGTGTACAAAGTAAAGTTCTTCGGAGTATCAATGCAACGTTCTTCTTTTATAGATCAATTAAAGGTGAGAATGAAAGCCTTAAAAGATTCGGGAGAAAGTAGCCATACCCTTTCACCTGACCAATAATTAGGAAGAACTAATGCACTGCACTCGGATGGACCATTGATTTCCTTAAGTTTGCAGTTACCAACCTTCGTTCTTGGCCCTGTTCTGCTGAATTCGGATGGTGCGCCAAAAAGGAACGGTACTACTGGGATATTTTCCAGAGACTTAGAATTATTGCATGAATGAGGTCTCCACCAGTCCATACTGCATTTGGTGAAGAAAATCAAGACTAGACGAAACCAACAACAAAAATAATATGAAGACTAGAACCCAACCCATTTTGGCAAGCTTACGTCTGCTTCATCAGTGTTAAAAGTCTTGATTTTTTCATCTCAGGAAAGCTGAGTTTATCTTTCAGTGCTGGATTCTTCTTGGCTAGCATGGCAACAGACATATGTAGTTTTGTCTTCTGCAACGTGTTATCAAGAGATCCAGATAGGGTTTTAGCCTCCCTGCAATAGAAATAATATTAATGAGAGTGAAACCGAAGTGTAGGATTCTGCCAAGCATCTTTTAAAAGGAAATAAAACAAATCTAAACTAACCATGGTGCGGATTCTGCACATTTCAGTTTCTGAAGTTCAAGAAACATGGCCGTTGAGTATTTATTCGCGTGCCTGTTTGTAAAAGCTGCTAGGTATTCTTCAGCTTTTCGCATTTCACTGAGCTTCATCACTTCAGCCAGATAGTTTAAGTTGAAGAAGACTTTTGTTTCTTGCTCTAATCTTGGGAAAGAAAAACCTTGTCAACAATAATAAGAAAGATAAATATATCCAGAATCGGAGATCTTTCCAGTTGCTTACCTATGCAAAGTGTTCTTGTACTTTGCTTCATGGAGAAATTGAAGTATTAAGCGAATGAGATCTTCCTACAAGAAACGCACTGATCAGAAACAGAAGACAAATGAATGCATTTTTATTTTTAACATAACTTCAAAATAAGCTGATAAGAAAATATGTACAAAATTCCACCTTCAGACCTCCCATTCTACCGTTAGAATTTGAACAAATGAGGGAGATAAGGGATAGCAATGCGGATTTGTTCAAATTGGGAAAGACAAGTTTGCCACATAAAGAAGGATTGCTTTCTGCTAGTTTGCGGAGACAAACACACAAATTAGCTCTAACCAATGATTTGTCCACGCAACCAGTTTGCTCAGAGATTCTATAAACAAAGCAACCATCAAAAAACTCTATGAGATCTATATTGAAGGATAATTAATACAAGGCTACTTAATATATCTTAATCCTTGCCTTATATCATTTACAGCAATCACCTCAACCAAATCCTCAAAGCCATCATCTTTGAAAAAAGGAATCCGTCTCAAGTCCTTGGAGAAACTGTTGACAGATTCAGAGCCACCACTTCTGCAGAACAGAAATAAAAGGCAATAAGAAAACAAACCATGGTTTTCTTTAGGTTATATAGACACAAAGTGTTTAGCTTTCTGAGATAACCATTTGGCTTATGTTTCTGTGCCCTCTACACGGAAGGGTGAAAAAGAATCTTTCCGATCATTTTTAGCAAATTGAAAAAAAAATTCTATTCGTCACTAGCTGACAAAACAAAGGAAGAAGAATATATAGTATGAAGCAAAAGGGATTCTTTTTTTTTTCTACCAGAGAGCATAAGTGATGTTTCTATATCAACTGAATGAATTGGAAAGAAAGAGTAAGGCTTTAAGCTTGCCTATCAGATGCTTCAGAAAACTTCCACTTGTACAAGTCAACGAACATCTTCCTAGAGAATGTATTAGCATTTGGAGCAGTGAATGCTGAAAGATAGTCCTCTGCGTGTTTCCAGTTACCATTGAGGATAGCACCGGAGAAGTAGCTAAAATCGAAGAAAACGCCTGAATCCTGCTCCAATCTATATTAACAGAAACAAAGCTAAATCTTCAGTGATAAGGACAACAAAAGAAGTGGTTCTGTCTAGAGCCCAGGTGAAAGGTATTCGAAGAATGGAAGCAATTTTGCATCGAAATTAAAATCAGAAACAAGTGTCAACGTACAAGTGTAAGCTTTCCTGAAAGCCCTCTTCGTGAAGGAACTGTAAGATGAGGAAGATGAGATTCTTTCGATTCGTCTCGTCTAAGATCATCGTTGAATCACCCGTAAGAAACAAACAAGCATTGAAATTCAAAATCTTAGCTCCAGAAGAAATCTAGGGTTCTGATTTTTAACACAGTAGCAAGAGAGAGAGAGAGAGAGAGAGAGAGAGAGAGAGAGAGAGAGAGAGAGAGAGAGAGAGAGAGAGAGCAAATAGAAACTCTTAAATCACGATTCCCGATTGTTCGAGATTGGAGAAAGAAGGCGAATGAAAAGTTTGCAAGTCAGCAAAAGCTTGTCGTCGTCTTCGTTTACTCCGCTGATAGTGTTCAGTTTAGTGGAGAAATCCGAAATAAATGACCGTGATCAGTAGTACACCTACTTATCATCACCTTGCCCTATACGGAACCCTGTTTGTTCGATCATCTAGAAACGTTTTCTCGAATTAGGAACTATTTGTGGAAAGTATTCTATTTTACCCTACTTACAAAATATCTATTCTCACTACCCCAACCTTTTATCTCACTATCCCACCATTTTACCCTTTACCTCCTTACCTTTCTTTTTACTTTTATATTTTCTTTTTTATTTTTTCTTATTTTCCGAGCGGGTCCCACAATTTGTTTTGGACAATAATTTTTTTTTCCCAGATTATTTTTAGGGCACAATTTTAAAAAAAAAAAATATTATACTTTTTTTATTAATAATGAAAATTATGAAAACAAAATAAAAATTTTCTATACATCTTAAAATAATTTTCTATAAATAATAATATAAAATAAAAAATTATTTTTAAATAATATTTTAATCAAAAATTAATTTCAAAATATCTATAAATTACTTTTCCTAAATTAAAAATTTATCTCTTTTATATAAATTTTAGAAATTAAAATATTTTTTTTATTTGAATCAAAAAATAGTTTCAAAAATATTATACAACTTATTTCAATAATATTTCAAAAAATATAATTTAATAAAATTTTTATTTTTTTATTTTTTGTCGCTGGTTTTTTCATGGTAATAAAAATATTTAAATCAAAAAAAATTTGTTAAAATATTTCTATACATTTTGGTTATATAAAAATATTATAAAATAAAATTTAATAATATATTTATTTCAAAATATTTTAATCAAAAATAAATTTAATAAAATATTTATATAAATTCCGATTTTATACAAAAAAAAAAGATTTCTTCTTTTAACCAGATTTTATTAAAAACATTTCAAATATATAAATTTAGTAAAATATATATTTCAATAGTCACAGTTATAGTTTTAAAATTAATGTAATAAAACTATATTCTTTATGAAATGAAGGATATATAGTCTTTTGTATATTTCTTCTTATTTTGCACTGTTTTAAACCATAATAATGCATTACAATAGTGGTATACGATATTGTGATTTGTATAACACCCTCATGATCAATTATAAGTGTTAAATCGAGAAAAGCAAAAATTTATAAGAACTACTGGAACGACTGGTATTACTAAAGTGAAACGTGTATTACTTGTATTACTGAAACGACTATGTACCAAAGATCTTAGACAACTTAGATTCTTTAAATGGTTAACTAATCATAATTATTTTTTTCAGGGAATTATATGGCTTCTCCCATTACAGTCATATGTTTTGACTATGGAGGAAGTTACATCAAGTATGGGCATGAGATAAAGTGGATCTCAGGAGAAGATCAAATTCACACTCTAGTGATGAAAACATCTGTGGAAGAGGTTACATATTCTGAATTGGTTGATAGTATATGCAGAAAGATTAAGGCAAATGGAGATGGGATGCTGAAGATTAGTTACTTTCTAATGGTGTTGTATTCGAGCATACCATCATATATTTGGACTGATGAAGACGTTTTGGGTTATCACATGCAAGTAAATCATGATAAATGTAGAAGTGTTTTACATGTGGAGATCAGCAATGACATGAACGCGAGCCTCCTCAGGTTCTTTCTCAGCTTGAACCTCTGCTTCATTCATCCCAACCTCTTCTTGAACCTCATTAGGTTCTTTCTCTGCTTGAACCTCATCACGTTCTTTCTCTGCTTGCATGCTTCTATAACGAAATATAATAACAAGAACAACAACACCAGCTATAAAATATTCTTTCTGATGGAGATGAAGCCGATGATGAAACTGATGATACCAAGAATCATGGAATTGAGCAACTTGAATTACTAGGAACTACTTTGTATTACTATGTGTAACTTGAATTACTAGAAACTACATTGTACTACTTTGAACTACCTTAAACTACTTTGAAATACTATGTGTTACGCATTTTTCTATTAACCTTCATTTTCATTTTATTATTTATTTTTAGATGACGTATCTCATATATTACGTGATTATATGTTCATATATGTGTATATTTGCCCAGTAAGACATAAAATATTCTTAAATTCTCAATTTTGTAGAAAACTTTCCATTTCCATAGAAAATCTCCTTTACTTCCTTACAAATGTCTTGATGGGAAGGCCATAATGAGATGAATTTCAGAAAATACATTATTTCTAAAATTTGTTTATACCAATGTGTTAGATACAGTCTAAAACTATCTAAATACACTGGTATTACTAATAAATTTAACTTCTAGAGGTTGTATTACTAAAAAATGCGTAAATTTGTAAAAGTATTACTATGAAGAATGAAATATTACAAGTAGCTTGTGAACTACTAAGAGTAAATTTAATATTCAAACATATTTGTTTACTAACACGTTTTAGACATGTGCCATAAGTTTTTTTTATTCTTTTTACAAAGTGTGGCTAATGTGTTACACGTTTTAGACATGTGTCTTAAATTTTTTTTTTTTTTATTAAAGTGCTGACAATGTTTTCTCTTAGTAATACATAGTATACCTAGTAATACAACTATGTTTTCTTAGACATAGATTGCCTTGAATTTTTGGGCCAAACCTGTTGCAAGACAATCACAACACAAAATAATATTCAAGTTTTACAGATAGACAACCAACATAGCAAAATATTTTAAACATCGTACATAAGTTTACATAAGCCGGGATAAATATTCATCACCCAAAATACTTTAAGCTGATGGTCTTCTAAGCTTTTGTTCTAGGCTTCTTCTTGCGCCCTTCAATCTCATCGGTGTCAGCTTCAGTGAAAGGACTGGAAACCCACTATGAACGTGAACATGTCCTTTTTGTCGGTTCTGGCGTTATGAACTTCTTTGGTTCAGCAGCCTTTCTTGGTCGATCCCTCAGCTTGATACCAGTACGAGCAGGAGCTCCTTCAGTTCCATCCGTCTTATCCACAGCAGGGGCTCCATCCGTCTTATTCACAGCAGGAGGTCCATCCGTCTAATTCACAGCAGGAGCTCCCTCGTCAGCTTCCTTCGTTTCGTAGATAACCATGTACCACTTTTGCTTTTCTTCCTCTGTGTATTTTACAGCCTCTTTTTCGGGTTCTTCCACCTCAGCCTCTACCCTTTTTTCAGCTTGAGCCTCTGTTTGAACCTCTGCCTCAGCCTCCTTCGTTATCAGCTTTGTTCCTATTCCATTGCGAATAACGCGAAGATATTTAGTTGATCCTTTCTAAATCTATTAGTAAATCAAATCTAACAGACACAAGAAATCCAAGCTCAAACCATAAAAGTGAAGACATTAGATACTCAACCAAAATGAAAGCTTATAAACACAAACACTACATCTTAAACACAACTTACATGAATATGATCGTATATGGGATTCAATTATCAATTTACAGGAATGACACAACTAGACCACATTTAAAAACACAAACAATATCTAGACCAGTGGCAAAGATTTGACAAAAAAACAGAGGCAAAGATAATCTAACAGCTTAGCAAAAAGATTTAAACCATATCTCATAAACACTACATCTTAAACAAACTCGATCCAAGTATTGTAACAGTGTCCTTAGTGTGAAAAGGAAAGGACTTTTGAAACAATGTCCTACAAAAGAAGAAAAACATTTTAAATTGAGATCACATTTTAAGCAAATACAGCTCAGGTGAAAACAACCAAGTTAATAAGGATGTAAATCATTAACTGAAACAAGAACCAGAGAAAGGCTAAATATCAAACATACCACATAGCTTCCAAATCGCCTTCTCTACCACTTCACTACTACAGTCCCCCACTTTGCCTGAAGTCGACCAACCGATTCACCCCTCTGGTGGTGAATCAACTCTCCTTCTTTGTTGAAGCGTGGACAGCTTATAGAATGTTGTAAGCGGTGGAATCATTCAATTTAGTTAACAATAATCTTAAAAAAAAATCAGATTCAAAATTTCAAAATCCAGTAATTTCCTTAAGTCAAACAAGCACACATCCTATATCCCGAAGAACCCACATCAAAACGATTTGACATTGTGAAAAAGGTAAGAAAAAACCTTACCTTTAAGAAGCCGAGCTTGGTGATGGAAGCGACGATTTGGAAGACAGACACGGGGAGAAAGATTTAGGAAAAAGAGGGTTTGAGAGAGAGACAGAGAGACACAGGGACGATTTCGATTTCGCCGACGAACGGATTCTGTCGATTTTGATTCTAGGGTTTCTGATTTTGTTTGATTTGGGGAAAATGAGAAACACTTCTTAACCAGAGAAAATTTAGGAAAAGGGGATTTGAGAAAGAGACACGGGGAGAAAGAGAGGGTTTGGGAGAGAGACACTGAGAGAAAGAGAGGGTTTGGGGAGAGACACTGAGAGAAAGAGAGGGTTTGGGGAGAGACACTGAGAGAAAGAGAGGGTTTGGAGAGAGACCCACGGGTCACGCCACGGAGCCGGGTCGGATCAAATAGAAGGAGGCTGGGTCTGTAAATATTAAGTTTTGTTAGGGGTACTTTCGTTTTTTACTACGTTTTCGATTAAAATATGAATAAAAATATAATCTTTTTTATTGGTGGGGCAATATAGAATAGCGATGGGAGTGACTGGGGTAAGGAAGAATACGACTCACTATTTGTTTCACCGTCTCTGAATTTCATCCATTTTCATGAATTATCTACATGAAATTATGTTTGTTTCTTCATTTTCATTTTTATTCAGATTAGTTTTGTAAACAAATTACTAAAAAATTTTTGTTTTACTATCCTACACTATTACTAGGGGCAAATAAAGTACTCTCACCATGTT